CAGAGCATGGTAAAGGACTTGGTTTGTATGAGTAGCAACTTCAATTAAAATGAGTAAGTAACTCCATTTCTATCAAGGAGGCACAATGCAGCCATAAAGACAAAGCAAGCAAGGAACAAACAGAACAGGCAATGCTGTCCCCAGTTTTTTCCTTCATCTGCTATAGTCAAAGATCCTCAAAGAAATACATGACTGCCCAGTTGCATCACTGGGCTTGGAACCATAAAAAAAAAAAAAAAGAAGAAAAGGAAAGAAAGGTTCCATAAAGGCAATAAGTTTTTTCTCTTTCAGCTGTGGGATGCTATTATTTTATAAAGTAAGGAACTGCAGAGCTAATATATTTTAATTGTTTCTGTGTTTAAATACAAATGTGTTGAAACTTACTCCTTTAAAGGCAAGCTGAGAACCATGAGATTGCTCTCACCAGCAAAAAGAACAGGACAAGTCCCAATATCTTACTTCCCTCCTCACCATCTGCTCTGTGTTCTCAGGCTTTCCAAGGTCAAATAGCCTTTAGGGATTCAAATCAGAGGTAAGATGGGGATGACATTTCTAATCTTCGTTACACAGGAACAGAATTTATCAGTTTTGGACACAAGGAGCTTCATTTCCAGTATGACTGTAGTGAACACAGAATCAAAAAGATTTTTAAAAAAGTCACATTATTTGGTATGTTTGGTGGACCACACCAGCCAGAATCCCTAGCTGTAAGAGGTAGCATTGCCAAGGCCCAAATAAAGGATTCAAGACTGTATTTTAGACCTCTGATTCAAGAAGGTAAGATTTCTAAATACAAATCAAGAACTTATTTTGGTTTGGTTTTGTTTTTTAAACTTAAAAAATACACACTAGAAGGAATAGAAAGCGTTCCATTCCATGTTCTGAGAAACTTCAAGCTGATCTTAAGGGGCAGCACAACCAACAACACTTCTGAGAACAGACAATGAAACAAACAGAACAGCGGTTAAGAATCAGTACTGCCAAACCTCCCCTGCTGCCTCCAGCAGCACAACAGCCCCAGTGTGCTGACAGGACCAGCAGAACCAGCACCTCTCCCACCCACCATGGGGGTAAGGAACCGTGTGCAGCTCTGGCATGCACTCAGCCCTCCCAGAGACAGTGCCATTGGGTTTGATGGGTTAAACACAGGCAGAAATGGGGCTGGCAGTTTAAAAATAGGATGGCCCATTTTTCCAGTGCATAACTAGAACCCATCATTCTAATGCAGCCTGAGCTTGTGAGAGCCAGCAGAAGCTGGCCTCCTCCCAGGTTAGAGGGAGTGCATTTTTCTCCTCTCACAAACAGCCCATCCATCCAAACCATTGCTCAGGCTGTGCATAAGGAATGAGAACCTAGCCACAAGGCCTCCAACGCCCCTACAGACAGCCCTGACTGTGGTACTCTTGAGGATACCCGATTTGTTTCACCAGATTCCTCCACGAGAGCTCCACAGCCAGCCATGGCAGCTAAATAATAGCTGTCACAAAGGATGAGAATGTGCCAAACCCAATAACTGGATGCTTTTTATTGTTTTTCATTGTCTTTGCTTGGGGAAACAGGTTCCTGTTATCAAAAGAACAGATAGAATACAGGAGGCAACTAAGAAAAGGACCACGAGGAAAAAGCTTTTCCTGCAAGTGTTAAAACACATTCTGGAACATTTTTAAGGCTATGGAAGAGTCTACCACACTACTAGATTTTTACATATTTAGGTTCTAAGTGAGCAAAACACTGAAGGAGCACTTTATTAACACTTTAGAATATATTCTCATTTCATCCCACCAGAATATGCAAAAGCAATGGAAGTAGAGGCAAAGAAGCAAAAAGCACAGTGTCACAAGCTGAAACCCAGCACCACTAAGAGTCAGAGGTTTTTTGGACAGTAGGATGAGGCTTACAACACCCTAAATGCATTTTCTTTCAGCCAGTTTCTCACATATGTACACTGTGGTTCTCTAATGATCAACATTCTTGCACAGGACATGTCTTTGTTCCATGCCCCCTTCATGTGCTGACACATGTGCCTGTTCTCAGTCACTCCTTCCCACGTTGTCCCACTTAGCTCTTTTTGGAGTGGCTAAAATCAGAAACAAGTAGGTGCAACAGCCCTTGGCATTACAGTCCAGCAAAAGAATGATAGCGACATGGCTGCTCTTTTTTCCTTCTGATTTGTAAAGTGACAAAAGTACCGTTCTGGTGATTTTTGCTCTGATAGAGCAATCAAAGTGTCAGAGAAGCTGGATAGCTCCAAACAGGTTAACTTCATTGTACAACTTCTGTTTAATTTTAAGAGGTTCTTAACTGTAAAACTATAAAACCAAAAGAACAACCAATCCAGCCAATATGTAGGACTACCAATCATGTTGCTTACAGGCTCACAGAACCCTATCATTATTACTTGCCACGAATACTCCCTGCAGGAAGGAATGTGTTTTATTTGGCTGTTAACATTATATCGCAAGGGAGACCTCGACTGGAAATCTTATTCTCATTAACTTATTTTTTGTAAGCTTCAGCAGATTCAAAACATAGAAATAAATAAATAAATAAATAAATCAAAACCAACACATCTCCAGACAAACCTGTACATGAGAAAATTCACTAGCTTACAACAAAACAGTGTAATGGAAAAGACACCTCATTATATAATGAATTAAGCAAAATTTCTTCTTCCACAGCAGTAGAAACAATAAACTAAGCAGTTAAAATGATAAGCCAATGGCAAGCCTACTGTTAACTCAAGAGGAAGGTGGATACTCAGATGTTCTATTCCCCAAAAACAGTCTGTTATCATTCCTGTGCTGCTCTACCACAGACCTTTGTTTATTTAAGGGCTTTTTGTGCAGCAGATCAAAATGCTTTGCATCTATCTCCAGACAGTTCCTATAAGACAGTACTTAAATACAAGCATACTTATTTAATCTTGAAGTCAGCACAGCAATCCAGACTCTATCAATAGCATTTTCATGCTGCTTCACCCATAACAGTTACAAGATCAGTTCATCATTTTGCATACTACTGGATAGCACAGAGATAACCTGTATTCCCCTCAGCAGAACAAGACTATAGTGCTCAAGAGCCCATATGATTGCTCAACTGCAAGCCCAGCCCTAGAGATGGCTGCAGCAGTCAGTATTATTGCTGCTTCAAATCCTCCTCCTACATGGATCAGCCCAGACAAGCCACACTGACACGAGCTCTTCTGATTTTAACAGAAGTGTACCACTGCACTTGGCATGCTACAAGAGCCAGGTCCAGCCGTCCCTATGTTAATTACAAAAAGCCCTTCCTAACTGCAGAAAAAGCCCTTGAAAAAGTAAAGCAGAGGCACTGTAGAGAAACTGCATGCAGCTATGCTGAACACAGGCATTTCCTTTTCTTGATAATTCTGCAAATCCTTCACTGAAGTTTCACTTAATAGAAGTGATATCACCAGTAAAGGAAGCAATGGCATTTCCTGTTAATATAGTAGAGTCCTCATTTCTCTTTATTTAGGGAAGATTCTGTACACAAAATCAACCAGAAGACTTGACATGGAAATTCTGGATATTCTTTTTGAGCTATCAATATTACAAACTCCTTTTTTGCTTACCATGGATTCACTGATTAAGAGGAGAAGCAGAGCCTCTTCTACGTTGTCCTGAGGGCAGTAAACACTGAAAGACAGAACACATTTTTCTGAAGAAGGTCAAGAATTATCCTATCAGCCTCCCCTTCTCATTTCGCAAGAGGAGCAGTAACTTGAAACATCTCATTCATAATTCATTTGTTAGGTAATACCTTCTTTTGCAGGTTTACACAATTAAAAGCTCTGAAACATATCCAAGATGAGCTATTTCGAACCATAAATAGATTATTTCCACTTCTTAGCAAAGACAGCTATTTGGTTGGATTTTCTACCTTCATGTGGAAAAAAATCAAATACTCTAGGTTTAATGCTTTATTTTTCCAGCAGGCTTTTTGATAAGAAGTCAAAAACAAGAACTCCCAAAGCTACTACATCAAGCAGTGACATAATTAGCAACACTGTAGTGCGTTCAAACATCCTCTCTTCCTTCTGTCAATAATCCAAAATTAAAAAATGCTTACTTCTCTTCTGTGTATAGCTCAGGCTTCCGACAAAGCAGATTGCTAATGTAAGACTGATCTTCCTTGTTCATGAACTCAGGGAGAGGATCAGATAAAGGGCTCCAGTAACAGTCTTCACTCAAGGAATGGAGAAGCACTTGGCCTAGCTGTTTGGCCGCAGTCTAGAGATCAGTAAACAGAGAAAGATGCATTACTGAAGCCTTCACACACACCCCACACACCTAACAACCATATACATATCACAAAGGCCTAACAACAAGGGACAAGTTAGAGAATGAAGACAACTGACTGCCACACAGACTGCTGAGAGTCTCACAAATGTAACTGTGTTTGAGTATAATGGTACTCCAATGCTTTTCCAGCACCAAGATTTTGCGAGCAAGTCTCAGCCCAGAGGTTTAAAAGAGCAAGCATTCAGCTGTTGGTGTAAATGCAGCTCTTTATAGCCTCATCTCAGTATTATTTGTCCCTCTCTTTTGTTGTTGAGGTAGTAGTGGCAAGAAGAGAAAAGATTAGGAACTTTACATCGAGACTGCAATGTCACATGTCCTCGTTTGACCATTGAGTGTCCTTAAATACTTGCTTTCTAGTTCATATCTATTAGCTGTCAAGTTGAGCCCAAAAGGCAGCCAGCTAACTCGACTTTGCGAAACTGTCTTTGGCATTTGTCTCTGTTTAGACTCATCCAATAAACCCCTAATTATTTTTTTTTTCCCCAGTGTAAATAGATAAGCATGCGAACAAGCACAGAAATCAAAACAAGGGGTATCTTCTGGGAATTTCAGTAGCATGGTGCTCTACACCACAGCAAACACAGCACAGAACTGAGGTAGACTGAAACTTCAGCCCTCCTGTCCTAACACCAGTGAACATTTTTAAACTTTTCTTTGCTGCATATTTATTTTCTATGCTATTTATGTGCTATGACATGGTATGAGCCTGCCAAAAGTCATTCTCTTTTAAATACCAGAGTAAGTATGATTGATAAACTGAAACATTACTCCACTTGAGCTGTTGTACCTGTAGGATTAAATAAATCACCCTGAGTTTAAAGAAAATCCACGTGATCAGATTCAGAAAAATAACTTATTTTGATGCAAGATTCTTTATTTTCATCTGCCTCACCACACATGAAATCTGAGTTAGTCTAAAATGCAGCCACACTAGCACACACTGTCCCTTCAACATCAGATAAAGACAGCTTTCATAGCTGTATCTAGCAAATGGCAAACTGATTTGGATGTACGGCAGTGCCTTAAAGAAATATTGTCACACACAACTCCCTGGAAACCGTGAGACCTTCCCCACACTCCTACTGACAACCTATAGAAAGCCTTCTGTTTCTAACTAAGCTTTTCTATGCTTTTTATAGCAAGCAACCACAGGCAAAATGGCTGAGGGCACTGCAACATTAGCCAGTACCATTTTTTGTCTCAGTGTGTAATTATTTAGTCAGTTTTACCCCAAGGAGCCAACTCTCCTGTATTTTTTCCTACAGCCTTAGAATGGAGGGAAGAGTATTATGCCAGCAACAGAAAGATCTTTACTGTTTCACACAAAAGAAGCAGTACAGTTTGTGATAAGCCTTTCAAAAGGAAAGAACCACATACTTGCATTTTCTTTGATTTTAACATACAGTACAGTAGCTGTGTAAATTAGCGTCACTTTGTTTTGAATAAGACCAAACAAACCAGAACAGGCCAAGACTGTGATTTATGTTATTACTGCCTTTGGCTAAAAAAAGCATCATTATGCTTAAAGAACACTGTGATCCCACAAATTAGGAAAAAGAAAATTGTGTTTCATTTTCATGCATGAAAAATTTGTTTAATTAAGCACATTCTTCCCTTTGCCCTCTTGACAGCTCTTCAAAACTAAACACGAAAGTGAAAACACAACTTCCAGTAAAATGGAAATCCCAGGAAAAACTACTGGATGGACATCTTCAAATTTCCCCTTAAGGAATAACATTCTTCCCCAAGGGTGTTGTATAGCTCTCTGCCGTTGCATTGGGACAGGAGCAGTTGAGTATCACATTCTGTCACGGTATAAGAACAGCAGATGGTTACGTTCATTTCAGCATAGCAATAAAGCAGATGAGCAAAAATAATCCCCTGAGTCCTGATCTCACTCTGGGAAAGGATGTGACCATTTGAGCGTGACAATTAAGTCACCTCTTCTAATTCCCTGCAACAACTTTGGTGTGTGCATCTGCATTCTTGACTATGCAGGGAAGGTGATCTGAAGATACATTTCTAGAACAAAAGTTCCAAAATAGACAAATGTGAGAAACCTAAGCAAAAATGCCCTCAGGATACCCTTTCTGTCTGGGGTTTCATTTCAGCTCTGCATTTGTATGTGAAGAAGACACACGTAGATCAGTCCCATTCGCTGGAACCCAGTGCTCCCCATCTTCAAAATGTTAAGCAAAACACAGAGAAGGCTGAACAAAACACAAAACAAGTTTAGCCATATTAGTGCAATGCTTCTAAGGCTGCAAACTTCTCATTCACGTTCAGGACTGCTATTCTCCATGCTGTTGATTTCATCACATCCTGAGTAACTTCATGACAAAATTTCTTAAAGTAGAAGTAGGAAAGAACCATCTAAGTTAAACTACCCAATTAATGAGGCACACAACTTTCTCTACAATTTCTTTATCAGAGGTACTCAGGATTTACAAGACATGGAACAACACAAAAAATAACACTCACTCTGCACTACGTTGCATCAAAGTGAGTTTTATACCAGGAACACAGAAGCACTTTAGTCTAAAAAAAGCGCTGTTTATTTGTTGCAAAAGCTAGAAGTACTTAATGCTGCTACATGCAAATCTGAAAAGTTGTGCATGCACACATTAACAAAAGAGACAAAGAAATCAAGGGACAGCACTGTCAAACTAAATTCATTGCTATTCCTATTTAAACCACAGTCAAAAAAAGTACTGCGAGGGGAAAAAAAAAAGAAAAAGGAGAGAGTGAGAGAAAAGTAATGTTCAGACCTGAGGGCTCAGAGGTTTAGATTAGATAACACTTTGAATGAAGTGCATCACTACAAATATCACTCCCAGAAGTATTAAAACAAACAAAAAATTCCAAGTAGTCAAGTGAAGAAAATTTTTTGTCCTACTGCAATGGTTAAGAAACAGAATTCCTTGCACAGCACATTACACCCACCTTCCCTTCTCCCGTTCATTCCCCTTACCATTTTGAAGGTCTGAGTAGCTTTTGTTTCCACAGTCCGTAATACTTCTCGCAGACTCCTCATTCCCTTCACAATATCGCTAAGAAGGCAGAAAAAAAAACACCATGAAACAAAAAGCAAATGCAAACCAGCAATGAATGAAAGGAAATATTTTGATGGTGCACCCAAAGCTAGGCAACAAACTTGACATTCACAGAAGCCAAGAAAGGAACCCTTCACACCAAGTGTGCGGCACTGAGATGAGTCACTCTGAGGCAGAGGACAATGGCACCAAGTGAGGCAGTGACTGTAGCATGCCTGCTCCAGATGGCTTCCTCAGAGAAGATCACATTCGCATTTGAGGAACAGAGGGGACATTTGGAAGCTTTTCATAGTTCGTATTTATAAAGCAGATGCTGCTTCTTAAAAGCATCCATATCTCCTCTTCACACACTCAGACTGGACTGGTATGAATTATACTGAGCTTACATGATTTAAACGACGATGACTTTCAGGTGGTACTTGAAGCATCTCGTGTCTGGTAGTCAAGACACATAATGAAATTACAGTAGTTTAAAGAGTTTATTGTCCAGTAGCTAAGTTGAGTAGCTGACTGCAAGCACAGCTTAACCTCCAGTGAAAGAGGGCTAGGCTGGAAAAAAAAATCTTCACATTACTATGCATACACCATTAGCAATTAAACCAGCCTAGTCGCCAAATGATATCTTAACCATGTGCCTGAGTGCTGAAAGAGATGGAGAGAGGAACAGTTAAACACTGGACATATCAGCATCTGAAGCTTGTAAGCTCCTCCAGGTTAAGAACATGGCCTTACCACCACAGTAACAAAACAGCTTAGCTCACTTTCTCTGAAAGGTGGTAACTACACAAATACAAGCCAACAGAAAAGGAGCAATGCTGCCCTGAATTAGAGACATTCAGACAGCGGTAGTTCTGGTATATTAAATTGCCACTTCAACTTGTTCCAGGAAAATCTTCTGTGCAGGCAGCATCTTGGTTTTGTTAAAATCCACACACCGTAACAACCACCTCTGTGAATCAGTTTAAATTTTGAAGGTAATTACACAGATTGTGTTTCATGCACTGCAAATCTTCTTGTGCTCTAAAATCAATGGTAAACATTTGAAGAAACATCGCAAAATATTTTCTGGGAAAAAAATAAATTAAGTTGATGCTGTTTGTCTTAAGACTTGGCTACTTGAAATGCCACCCTAAGGCCTACAGTCATCAAGTCACACAACGCGAAAGTGTGTGGCCTTCCTGTCAACTAAGTTTAATCTTCAAGTTTTAAACTCAGAGAAAAGACTTCTGAAAACTATCCAGTTGAGGGTGATCTACAGACATGCAAAGAGGGAAGATTAAAAAATAATGCAAGTTTTACCAGATGCCATCTCTTCTTTTTTCTCTTTCCACTCTCCCCTAAGTAAACGATGTTCTCAGCTTCGGATGGAAAACTTCCTTGAGGAAGTTTTTGTAAGCTGGACGTTAAAGCTTCAGCAAATGTTCCAAACAAAGAGCCAAGATATCTGGTGCATTTTGTGGGTTCGGGGAAGAATACTCACACATACATGCACTTCTGAATCTTAAACTAAGGAAAGCAATTAGATATGTGGTGATGTTCACACACAAGCAGTCACACCAAAGCCAACAGAATCATTCACAGGCTATTTCATGCTGCAGAGTCAAAAAGACATTTCCCCGGTTGAACAGAAAGTACCTGGTCCCCTCAGTTACTTAAAAAACATGGGCCATTCCTGTGCTTCCTTGGGCTCCTTACAGGCTCAGAAGAAGAAAAAGGCTGTACATGACATTTCCATGACATTTTCAAGAATGCATATGTTTAGATTTCTTGTTATGATAATGGTATTTGTCTTAAAAGCATCAATGAATTCCATTCACTAGTAACAGAAAGAAGATTAGTGATCATTTACAAAGCCAATTAATTCCACATTTGGCTTTTAGTTAGAGACTGAAAACCTAGAGAATGTGCTAAAAAACAGACAGTTTTCCTCAGAACATTACAGAATTGTTTAACTTCCAGCTTTTAGACAAGGCCATAAACAATGTCGATGCCTCACAGGAGGACCATCCTGTTCTGAACTGATGGGGAAAGGAAGAGTAAGAAATATGAACCTGAGGTAAATGAAGGAAAAAACGGGAAGCTCTGGCCCTTCCACAGATCTTTGGGGCTGAACACAGACCACAAGACAAACACCAAAAACATCTTCACAGGAGTAGCAGCACATGGCAGACAGCTGCAAGAGGCTGCCTGCACCTACCACGGCCAGAAAGCGACATGGTGGTCAGCCTCTCTGAGAACACCCACTCCAAGCTCTTAACTCTGAAACATACAAAGCATGTGACAGCAATACCAGTTCTACAGGTCTAAGGCTTTGCTTTTATGTTCTGAATGCTACTGAACATTATTGAGAAGTCACAGGAGACGGAGCACACCTGCCAGCAGCTGGCAAATCCACCTCACTGAGGGAGCTCCCCTTTGCATTCCAAGGCACTGGAAGGCCAAGAAGCACAGGCTTCACTTTAAGCATGAATACTACTGATAACAATAACTAACTTACAGCTCTGTTAACAGAAGCCTTTCATATACAAAGCACGCAAATGATGAGATTTTTGAAAATAGAACCTGAAGAATACAAAAAAGAAGAGTAGGTCTTTGAACAGCAGTAAGTATATGCAGACGAGTGGATGAGGATGTAATCATAGCCCTTGGCAATCCACTGCAAATCCACTTGATCTTGTCTAGATCAGGAACTAAAAAATCTCGAGCACCTCATGACTTCAACAGACTACCTGGAAATCCCAGGTACTGTTGGTTCAAATCAAGGCATCGTAAGTCAACATTAGATCATGGAAATAATGAGTTGAAAGATTCTGTAGGCTCCTACTGCACTGCTAAAATGACACAGAAATAAAAAAAAAAAAAAAAAAAAAAAAAAAAAAAGAGAAACCAGAAAGAAACAGCACCTGGCCATTAAATGAACTGCTGTGGTTTTAGCCACAAAGGTGGTAAGAGAGATATTTTAAAAGTCATGATGAAATGTGCTTTAGAATTCAAGTACAGCTAATTTAATAAAGAGGAACGCAGAAAATCATCAGTGTAAACAGCAACTGAGAGCACAATGAGTAATGACTCAGTCCAGCATGGAATGAAAATCTGTGCTTTTTGTTTTGTTTTTGCTGCTGTGGTTTTTTGTTCCATATGGATTGTTTTTTTGGTTGTTTTTGCTTCGTTTTTTTTGTTTGTTTGTTGTAGAAAATACCCTCATTAATATAGGGTAATTACCAGATATGAATGGAAATAGTCATATCACTTTTATGTCACATTATTTAGTTAACACTACACAAAATTTTAAGGCAAAAAAATTAAGAAATATATTGTTTTCTGTGCAAAATCACTGAAAAAAAAAATACAGATAATGAGCCCAAGTGGACCCCAAAAGATCATGTTCTTATCCCATTTAATAACTGTGAAAATAGCCACTAACAAGTGGAAGAGATTATCTGGAGATGGCTACATGGCAGTTTGCAGAGTCACTTGTCCAATGGAAAGCACACAAAAAGCGGGAATACCATGCCCACTATGAAGTGAAGCTCCTGCATCTCTCCCAGCTTTCTAATCTCTCCTTAAACAGCAGCTCATGCACAGGCATAAAAAGTATTCAAAGGACTAGACCTCAGATTCTTATGAAAGATACAAGACAACTAACTACAACAAATCACTTTAGCGTTTCCCAATGTCAACCTGTCAAACTAGCTAGACTCAAAAAAAACCACCAAAATAAACAAACAAAAAAAACCACAGCCCCAAATCCCAAACTAACCAACCAACTAAAGAAAACAGCTTAGCACTTATCTCTGTCAGCTGCTCCAAAAGCAATGTCTCATATTTATTCCCATGGAAACTACAACCAATACAAAGAACACAAAAGCACTACTTGATAAAGCATACTCTCAGCTACAAATCTCTCCTTTTTTTTTTTTTTTTGGTCAGCAATGAGTGAGAGTCTGCATGCCACACTCATAAAAATCTGCAGCAGTGTCTGGACTCCATAAACATTCAGCAAGCATCGATTAAATGTCAGTGGGTACCATTTTTTCTGCATGGAGGAATTCATTGACGCAGTTTTGCTTCAGACACACTTCCATGTCAAACACCATTGTGTCAGACTGCCCTTCTGCTGCCATCTATCACACAGCAACAACATGTAATGGCAAAGTGGCAGGAAGGTTCTACAGATACTGCTGTACCACCAACATTCACCTCTGAGATCATGAGCCAATATAATAAAATAAGAGGCATTAGTTTCAGAGCAGCCTTCATAGACTCATCTAGTAGGCAGTAAGACTCACTTGTGAATTAACAGCTGCAGTGTCCTTAGCTTCCTGTATTGGGTGCTAGACTGGGAGGACTGAAGAAGGGATAAATGACAAGCAAACCCACACAAATTCCTCAGAAAAAGATTAATATTCTGGCAAAAATTTTGTTTGATTGTACTGTAACACTAACACATACATGAAGTTACTCTTTCCAAGTGCCCTTGCAACAGAAGCCTGTAACATTTCAAAAAATGGAACTGAGGGCTCTGCAAAAATGACAGGAAAAGAGAAAAAGAAAGAACTGCATAAGCTTTCCCTAGTAGGCAATTTCATCAGGGCTTTCCAAAGTATCTCAGGTCCCTAGCATGAGGGATCATAAGGAAATCTGATTTTTACTAAGCTCTTAATGGTTTTCTGAAAAGTAAGTATTATTTTCAGAAGCACACAGAGCTTCCAAAACCATCACTTCCTCTGGAACGCCCTGACGTTTTGATTTCCTTTGCCTTTGCTACTCCATGCATACTTCAAATACCATTAGAAGAGTCACACAGAAATAACTGTTACTTCATACAGATGAATCCTATTTGCAACTGCAGCAGATGCGCTTTCAGCAACACAGCATTTCTAAGTTAGCATCTATTAAGAGGGAAAAGAATAGCCACAGCTGTAGGACCTGCTGACCCTCACAGCTTGCTCCTTAGCACCATGCACCTTCATTTTGCATGGGTGCATGTGAGTGAGGAAGGTGCCTTCTTTTTAACCTGCGCTGAAAGAGGAAAGGACATCTCTGTCTCCTGGATTATTTGCTCTCCAGAGGTGGCTGTCCCCTCAGAGAGCTGTACACAGGAAAGTCACATCACAGTGTCCAAGAAAGGTCTGGGTTGGAAGGGAACATAAGGATCATTAAATTCAATGTTTTACTCAGTGAGTGGTGAGGGACTGGCACAGGATGCCCAGAGAAGCTGTGGGCGCCCTATCCTTGGAGGTGTCAAGGTCAGGTAGGATGGGCCCTGACCTAATCTGACATGCCAGGTGGCAATCCCGCCAATGACAGGGAGGTTGGATCTAGATGATCCTTAAGGTCGCATCCAACCCAGCCATTGTATGACTTTATGATCCCTGACCACGTTCCAAGAAGTTGCCAGCAGGAACAAAGCAGGACAGTACCATTCCTTTCCCAGATCATCTGCTGAGGGAGACACCTCAGCTCCCCTATAGTCCTGTTTTGTACACAGCTGCCCAGGGGAAGGGCATGGACCTCCCGGGACCTACGCACAAAATATCTGAAAAAGACTCTTCCCTTCTCACCCTCCCACCCTTTTCCTTCACATATCCCAAAGCTGTTTATGCCCTCTTGTGGCAGAAACTGCACATTAATATACAAGCAGGGGGCACAGACACAAACAGGGGATTCCCACTTGTCTCATTTTCCTCCCTGTGGTCCTTTAATTTCACTGGCTTTTGCTTCTGATTTGCACTGGAAGAGGTGCAAAACGAACTGGGCTTTGTTCTTGTCACAGCCATGTCAGCTCCACGGCAGTAATGAGGCTGTTTTTTCATCATGAGACAGCTACAGAGAACATTTTGCTGCTATTGCAGCGATTCAGCATGTAATCAAAGTGGTGCTTAATTCACACATGTATTTTGATTCCCAACTGTTTTCCTGTAGAGTTGGCTTTTTTTTTTCTTTTTTAAAAGGCTGTCATTATAATAACGTGGAAAGAGAGCAACCAGGGCTCACAGTAATAGCTAAAACAACCCACTGTATATATTGAAGTGATGAAGATTTAATTTCAAATGTTGCTGAATAAATGAACATGAGCGAGTTTGTTATTCAAAAGGTGCCTAGAGGACATCAGTGCCATATGTTCTAAATGAGATTTTATTTTATTACATAGTTAATGAGTTTACTGGCAAGACCTGAGCTTTTTGTTTGCTACCAAAATGGCAAAGGGCCAGCAAAGCCCACTCTTTGAGCAACAGATGGTCAACCATCATCTCTCCTGGGAAAACCACATGTGTATCCTGTATCACTGGGACTACATCTTGCACCTGGAACCTTGTACTTCTTTACAAATAAACTTGCAGGCAGTTGGCTAAAGGGGTCATTTCACAACACCTGGTCTTTATGAATAAAGCCTTTGGGTTAAATAAGGCTTACCTCAAGGCACCCTGCATGGACATGCTATAGTAAGTACAACTGCACTGTATACGAACGCTTTTAATCCTGGCTACAAATAAAACAATAGAGAACATCAAGCATACTCATCGATGCGTTTAAATCATTACTGGGGGAAAAAAAAAGAAAAAAACAAACTGAACTGAAGCAGTCCTTCCTCCAACAACAGAAACAAAATTTGTTTGGTTTCTTTTTTATACAGAAGAATTTAAAATGATCTTTGCTGTGATTTTTTTTTTTTCTCATTTTCTTCTTTTCTGTCTCTCCATATTTCATTCAGAAGGAAAAAGGAGAAAAGAAAAGCAGAGAAAACATCTTTAGGTGTGAAGATTATAAAACCCACCAAAATGAAATACTTTCAAAGATGGTTTGCTTAAAAAAGTTTACAAAACTTCGACCAATTATATTCTACAGAACAGTGAGAAATTCATTATCTGATTCCTTAAGAACAAAAGTGATACTTTGCTGCAAACACAGGACTAGGGAAGGATGAACTCGTATAAGTATTGTTTACACATGATAAAAGGACATTCTCCCCACACAGCAATCTCTCCATCAGCTAAATAGATTTGAAGATACTGCCCCTTTTAGGGGTTGCTGTGCTCTCACCAATGGCCTTTGTGCACAGATTCGTAGGTTTGATCAAGACATTCAAGAACTTCAATAACTAAAAGAAAACAACCCTTAAGACTTCACTGAGCTCTACCCCAGGCCTTGGGGCTGAATATTCAAAAGGAACTCAGTAGTATTTACATTCCACACGCTCTCTATGGTCAGACTCCTCATCTCCACAGGGAACAGAGCTGAGTCAAGACAATAAAATAGTCGAACCCCACCCTACTTGTGAGTCTGGGCTTAGGATGAGAGGGAAAGGCAGATGGGAGGGGTAGGATATGAGAAAACTTGAAGCAAATCAACAGCAGCAAAAAAAAGTCACAACAGAACACATGAAGACGTAAGCCTCACCCGTTCTGAGACAAAATATGCGGTATTTTTTATCTATTTCTACTAACATCTGCATCCACCTACCCCTTTTTTAAATGAGTCACGTAGGCACTCTGTAGAGCTGCTTCCAGGAAGTAGGACAGTTCAAACTCAGAGTATGTTGTGTTGCTGCCCTTCATATTCCTTGAATGTGTGTTGTTTAAAGTCTGTGAGGAAAGAAACCAGGGGGATTACAGACACCTCTTTGAACTAGTCACTTCCCCCCAAGATACCAAAAATAAAATGTTAGCTTCTGTCATCAGATTCCTCTTCAGGTTACTTAAAAACCTACCTTCATGAGGTATTCTATTCTATTCGAAAAACCTTCCAAAGACAACTTTAAAATAAACTATACAGTGACTTCTGTGAAATATTCCATGTGTAATGTGAGCTTTGAAACCCAGCATCTGCTACTTTCCATTCTAATAAAACAGAAGGCTACATATCAATACCAAGGCCTTCAGAAGTACAACTCCGACCAACAGAGCCAGCATCTTGCATAGAAATAGAAACACAATGTTTAAGTGGGGATACCTAGCTTAACATGACAAATGTTTGTAAGGGTTAGTAACCTACAAGGAGTCTTGATGGCAGAATCGCAGCATTTCCTCTTTGAGTCTTCTTGCTTTGGCTTCCTTAGAAGCTCTACCTTCCAGATCAGCTAACAGACAGCTTTCACTGCTAGAAATTGCACTGTGTATACTCTCCAAAGTAGTATTTTATTTCCAGGAATGAAAAGGATCTATGGACTCTGAGTGAATCAGGAATCCTCCATCCTTCTGAGTCTAGACGATGAACAAATTATCGTTCAAACTTTTTCCCTTCTTGGTGGACACAAGCTCTCAGTGCCTAGCACTGCAGGAAGTGGTCCTCTTGCAAGGAAAAGGCTACATTTCATTTTAAATAAAAAGGTAATTTAGCTTTTTCTTGCAAAGAAACAGACAAAACAATTTGTTAGCTGGCTACTTACTGAATTTTTGTGTGTGGTTTAAGCTTGTTTTTCTTGTTTTAACACAACTGAAAACAAAACCAGCAGCCTTGCTACTGAGAGGAGGGATAAATATCTGGTCAGAAGGTCTAAGGCTGTAAAGAATAACAGATAATGTCCATTGCCTCACTGCTGCTCATGTCAAGCACAGTGTGTGGCAGAGGACAGAGCATGAAAACTTACGGTGTGTCCCTGTTAAATGCTGCTAGGCAAAGTAACAGAGATAGACATACCTAAGCATGTACCCAGCAAGGAACTGGCATGTACTACAGCTCAGCACAGAGCTCAGTACTCATCCTACTCAGCATCCTTAGCCAACATCAGGTTGAGCAGTTACTTGTTATTGATCCAGGTTCCTCCACTTTTACCTGGAAATGGCAAAGCTTTGGCAGCTAAGGAGCTATGATCAAGCCAAAAGGTAACTTCTAGCTTGTTAGGGATCTCAATATCCAGTACTGTGTATCATATAAATGGCAGATACATTAAATGTCTAGGGATCCTTCATGGTAGCAGTTGCTCCATAAAGTCTGTAATCCTTCTTAGTAAGAGCTGAACTTGAGATAAGGATTTGAGCGTACCAAATATTCAGTACTTTACTGCAGGCAAAACTGGTTTCTACATTTTCAAAAGAAACTGGCAGAGACCAGACAAACAGCTGTTTTGCAACTGCTTATACTAAAAAACTCAGCCTGCAGAAATGCTAAGACACCTGGCTCCTTCAGACTTGTTCTCATTCACTTCATTATCTATAATAGCTTGACATTTTCACCACCACTCTGCAGCCAAAATTCCTGGATGTTCTACTCAAGTCACCAGGCAACACCCTGAGCACATTTCTTACCTTTTCTAGCTCCTGCAGGTACACTTGAGCAATGACACATGCAGTTTCAAAGCAAGTCATGACTTCTTCCTCCCTTTCGCACAGGCGAGCACGTGAGGCTATTGAGTTGGTTGAGCGCTCCAGAGACAGACCTGTAAAATAGAAACACCTTCTTTAACTGGAGTCCACTAAGAGCAACACAGCCATGTTATACTTCCATTTACTGTCCGACCACAAAGTTTTTCCATATGTAGATTTCCCCATAGTTTTAGTGGCTTTTAGGAAAAAATCCCAAGAAAACAAAATTCTTACACATGCAAGGCATTTTTGTCATGCTGCTCTATGGTACCACTGCATGCTTCTACAGCACCTTTCAAACATTTTATGAAGAAAGGACACACAAATCCTCTGTCAGGGAAGAGCAAGCAGAGAAATTATGGCCTATATTTCCAAAGATGGCTATAGATTTTGGGTGATTCAATATAAAAGCTATTTCAGAAACAACCTAGCAATGGATGTGAGAATTTCTGAGCATCCACTATTCCAAGTGAAGCTTTCAATAGCAGCAGTTTTAAGGAAGAAACTTGGAGAAAGACAACAATACAGAACTGGAAGACCTGAAGCCTTTTGTGGAAAATCTAAGCACTCGCAAATTGCACATGGACACACTGAGAGTTCTTGGAAAAGCACAAGAAAACTACAGAGTCACCCTCTACTCCAAAGAGAAGAAAAAAAACCCAACCTACATTTGTTTTTTGTACCGTAGAAACATTATCATTAGGTCCTTTAACAATCATACAGCACATAAATAGAGACCCATAGCTGCTGTCCCTACACAAAAATCCCTTATTATCCAGTCCTTGCCTGACCTCCCACTGCTATATCCTTTATTTCCCTAAATCCCTTTGGAGAGGCTATATATATGCAGACTGATTTTATTCTGATCTATATAGATTCTTATCCCCCACAACACTGCTTGGAAACCTGGGTCTTTTACGTCAAATAACTGCACAGATGCCCAGTAGTCCACACAGGTTACAGATTGCTTAGTATGCATTTCCCAGAAAATTTTGTATATAACAACACTCCAATACTAATGAAAAGCTTGTAAGATGTAATACAAAACCCTAGCCTTCCTGACACAGGTCAAAAGGATGAGCTGTTTGGACAGGCTCTCCAGGGAAGCAATGAGGACCACCATAGCATATGCCAAAAGAATTTGCCCCATGTGAAGAGCTGCAGCTCAAACCAGGAACCACACCTTTCTTGTACATAATCCAGGGCACCCCACAGAGCTCACCTTAGGACTCCATGGCAAAGGGGAGCCAGGCTACTCCATGATGAACAATGTATAGAAGCACTCATTCTAGAGGAGTCTGAGACTCCTAGACGTTCTTAGCTTTGTTTATTTTTCACATTCAAAGTTTCTATTTTGTCCCCTTGGTAACTGTGCTAGGAGTTTCCCTGCCTCAAGCTCTGCCTTTGAGGCAAACACGAGCAGTTACTTCAGTGGAAGAAGCCCCACATAGAATCATAGAGTCACTCAGGTTGGAAAAGACCTTAAAGATCATCGAGTCCAACCACGACCTAACCATGCTACCCTAACTAACAACCCTCTGCTAAATCATGTCCCTGAGCACCACATCCAAACGGTTTTTAAACACATCCAGGGATGGTGACTCAACTGCCTCCCTGGGCAGCCCATTCCAGTGCTTAATAACCCTTTCTGTAGAGAAGTGTTTACTGATATCCAACCTAAACTTACCCTGGCGCAATTTGAGGCCATTTCCCCTCATCCTGTCACCAGAGAGAAGAGACCAACCCCGCTCTCTCTGTGAGCACCTCTCAGATGTTGGAAGAGAGCAATAACATCTCCCCTCAGCCTCCTTTTCCCCAAACTGAACAGCCCCAGTTCCTTCAGCCTCTCCTCCTAGGGCATATTCTCCAAGTCCTTCACCAGCCTTGTTGCCCTTCTCTGGACCTGCTCCAGCACCTCAATGTCCTTTTAGGGGGTGGCTCCCCACTGCCCTGTCCCAGATCAAAGATCCATGGCACACCCCCCAGGATCCACCAAGGAGAAGCACATGTGAGTATCCTGCACCCTTGAAAATCCTGGGGACAATTATCTTGCTGCTTATCACTAACAACTATTCTGTGTTGTCTCCTTTCTACTGACATCCATCTTGCATAGAAGAAAATCCAACAGATTTTGTTCTCCAATCCACTTTTAAAGCCTCTGGCTTTATGTCAAGACTTTTTCCCTACTATTTCAAAGTTTCTCTTCACTCTGTTTCTACATACTAAGAGGGAAAAAAGGATGTTAAGTCAATACTCAAGAGAAAACATCCAGTGGTAAAGCTATATCGACTTACAAATATTACTCTCAGATCTGACTCAACTCACCTCTGAATTTCGAGCCATCCACCTTAACCAAAAATAAAACCAACAAAGTGTTGCATTTCAGAGTCACCACTCTGATCAGGATGCTGCAAGAGCCACCCGAGCACCGTCTGTGTGGGGGCAGCTATCGTGGGAGATGTCACACACAGAACAGGCTGACAAAAGCATTTCCATACCGGCTGTCGCACACTGCAAGGAGCGACTATCTTTAAGCTCTGATGTGGGGGAGGAAAGCAAGCAGCCTTTGCCAGCACCAAGCGACAACAAACAAACCCATCCGCACAGCCACACAAACAGAGGTGGAGCAGAACGAAGATGGGGATACCAAGGTTTCCAGAAAGAATTCTTGCTACAGTAATCACAGAGCAATGTATAACATACTGAAAGGAGACAGAATGCTACACTGCGCACATTTTTCCACTTGCAAAGGGCAAAAAGGAATGACCCACATGATGTGAAATTAGTCACAGCGCTTCCTGCTCATACTGTATGTGCTGACCTGATGCTATCAGAGCATAAGATTTTCTGCAGAATTTGAACCAGATTCACCACAGAAATACAAGAAAAATCAGAGCAGGCAGGCAGCAAATGCAGCAGACGAAAATGAAGGACAAAACAAATTTCCTACTCTGCAGCCATCCATTCAGCTCTCACAGTGCAAAGTCCCAAGAATTACAGATTTGCTTAAGGTGCAGCTGCGTGTGGATAGCTCTGTTTAAATAGCCACCAGCCCCGACGGCACAAATTCCACTAACTATTCTCCATTCTCCAGTTATCACCAAAGACAATCCTTTGCAGAATTCCATGCATTTTTAATTCAACTCAATTCCCCAAAAGACACACAAGACCACTAAATGTGTGGTACGTGTCCCACCGGACTTAGCAAAGCATAGCTCCTGCTGAGATTGAATTCACTTCTGGGCAAAGCATAAAGCTACATGCTGTCTGAATAGCTGGTTAAGGAATTTTTTAAAACCAGTTACTTTAAGACAACACCAACTTATAACTCACCTATACCACGATTTTTCTCATACAAATCAGATGCCCAGATTTAAGTAAACAAATATACACAAATACATATTACAGAAACATTTTACATACAGAAGATACCATTTTCTAATGGATTTGGCTCAAGTTAAAGAAAGATCTTTCATAAAAAAAATAAACTCCTTCTACCTACTTTAGAGACAGCAGCTTTCTATGTATAGAAGCACTACTTTTCTTTCTTGAATAAAGGAAAGGCTTCCATCCACTTCCGTTATTTCTCCAAAAAATCATCTCTGGCTCTTTATCTCTCTAATTTTTGCTTGTTCTTCTGCCATTCTAAAGAAATTTGCATTTATGCCAGAAAAGAAACACACCATAAGGACATAAGAGCTGTCACAGACTGAAGAAATTCCTTCCTGAAGTTGAAATGCACTGCTTTCATTTATGAAAACCTGAATGGGGACATTTTAGGAAGGTTTATTTCCAGCTTCATCTCATCCAGTCCTTCCCAAAGGAAGAAAACATGTCATGTGGTTCCTACGCTCTGAAGTGACGTTATGAAAAGAACTGGAAAACACACGTGCAAACTGACATAAGAGATCACAGCAAAATTCAGGTTGGATGGGGTCGTGGGAGGTTTATAGCCCGACTTGCTGCTTGAAGAATGGTCAGCACAGTCTCATCAGGGCTTTACCCAGGCAGGTCTTTAAGCCTCTGTGAACAGATGGAGACTGCACAGCTGCTAGGGAGAAGAGCACGCTAAGGTAGCCTGCTTCTTCCAATTCATAAACTAGTTCCTCACATAGCAGTATTACTCCTACTAATTAGGAGGGATATATCAGTCTAATCACAGTTCTCATCATTTTCATTCTAACATAGGCTTCCATGTGGCCTGGTGTTATGTCTGTGTCAAGCACATTGATAGGAACTCAAAAAAGAGCTTAGGGTGGACTTGTAACTCTGTCAAAAGCATCAGTTCCAGCCTGCAACTCAAGACATACCTATGCTCACAGCCACACAGACAGGCTACCCCGGCCAGAAGCCAGAGCTGCTAAGCTGAGGACATGCAGTGATGTTACTACAGGAACATAAATAATTTGTCCCAAGGTAAGCCAGGGTGTCAACCACAGCACAGCAGCTGCACACCCTCAGTCCCACAGCCCTTCCAGCACAGGATGTCTTCTGCTGGGCACCTGCAGCCACTTCAGCACAGTTCTAGCAAGTCAGCCCACGCCAAAACAAGACCAGCTCCTGAAACACATACACACACATGAACTATAATTCAAAGATGCACCAAACACTCTTTCAAAGACAGCAGAATTAAAAGGCACAACCAAACCCTTGCAGAATTGGTATTATGCCCATTCTCCCCCACTGTCAGCCAAGAGGCCAACTTTAGAGCACAGCTCTCAACCAAGCAATCACATTATGATGTCTTGGAAAGCAAAAAGCCCGAACTTCAACAAGACAACGAAGCTGTCTAGATTGGCTTGACATAAGCAAGACCCAGTGCTATGTATTATTTCTGCCACAACTCACAGCAGCTTGAATAATTCACACCAGGGGTCTTGACTTATCCTCCCAGCAACTGGCGTATCAGTTTAATTGCATTTTCTTGCAGTGCAAACACAAGTGGAGCAGGAAAGGCCTAGAAGCCCTGGATTTTAAATATATCCATATATTTATATTACATTTTGTGAAAGGGCAGGAGGAAAGAGGTTTTGTTTTGCAAGAATGCTGCACAAGCTTCTTGTGCTATTGCTTC